GCCCTGGGGCACGCAGTGCCAGGTCACCCAGGGGAGCGCGGCGAGAGCCGGACAGAGCCCGTGACCGTACAGGGCAGCTGCTGGATTTGAACAACTGCATTAATTAAGGTAGGAGAGTTCCCCCCTTTAGAAAGAGCCTTGCTCACAGCCCCCAAATATGAATGGTAGTTTTAATAAAACTAGCAGTTACCAAGCGCAGCCTTGTTTTAAGACACAGTCCAAGGAAGCCTGCCATTTTAATTCAATATAGGCAGTAAAGAAGGAAACAAAAGGTCAGTGTGGAATAGGACCAGGGCATAAATCAGAGCACAGCAAAAATGTCACTCCCCTCAGCTGCCAGGTTCTGGAAAAAACAACCTTTCCAAATATATTTGACAACCTGGATGGAAAGATGGGTTTAGGGAACGCATCTGGAGCAAACTGTGTTTGATTTCCAGCTTTGGTACAGAGCTCATGTGCAGCTTGGGCAAGTCATCCTGGCTCCCGGAGTTACAAAATTGAGCTATTAAACACCTCAGGGATGAAATTAGACTATTCCCTCTTAGTCTACTTTCTTTAGAGGCAGAAACTAGCTAACTTTTGTGGTAAAAAGAACAACTAGCACAAAAGATTGGACATTGCAAAGCAAAATGGTGCAGCTCGTTGTGTAAGCTCCCTGCAAGCTTTGGAAATTTTGCATGTTTTACCAGAGGGCCAAGAATCAAATCCTTGACAGATACTTTCTCTGTTGAGCATTGGCTACCACTGGAAAACTCACTTTGCTGGACTCTGGTCCTGACCCAGGATGGCCAAAGCTGTCACAATATGGAAACCGGGCTAATAAGATCAGAGTCTGAAGAGATAAATTCCAAAGCACGAAGAGAAAAGGATGTTTTCTTTTCCGCTGGACAAAACACAACTTTTCTGGCAGGCACAAGCAGGACAGTCTGTCCACTTTGGCAATACCCCACATGCCTGGACGTACACAAGTGTGTTTTTACATGCAACCCCGCTGGATTACACAACCTCCCTCCAAGAGAACTTGGCAAAAACCATACGCGAGAGGCTGTGGAGGCTGCAGCGGCTGCATTGCTCGACACGTTGCAGCGTTTGGAGCTGCCAACCACCGGGACAGCAACCAGACCCACCAGAGCTGCTGCTCCAGCCCCCGAGCTGCAGTCTCAGCAACACAAGGTTAGAAGTTCAGCTTCAGTCCCCAGCTCGTGCCCTCCAACCTTCATCAAGAAAGGGGGGTTTGTTCAGGCTGCAGGCACTTTACATTTGTGACATAATAGTATATCTTCCTTGCGTTGCTGTTCCTCAAGAAACATACAGCAGATTAAAAAATCCAGAGATTAAAAATCCAAAGAGATTCAAAGATCCACCCTCCATAACCCTGCACTTTGGCACAGGCACTTAGCATTTATGAGAACATCAATTAACAACTGGATTTATCAGAGAAGGACTTAGTACTGCTCCTTCTACTTTTTAAATTACCAAATCAATTAAAACAATTAAAAACTTAATTTCTAGTATTCTACAAATCTCATTTTCACTTCTATAATCTCCTATTGGGCTTTGATTAACCAGCATTTCCCACAGACAAGGTCTCACTGTTTCAAGGTGTTACTCTGTCAGACCGTTGTTACCAAGCAGTAGAGCCAGTGTGTCCTACAATCTGAGCACTGTCTAGATTATTTGAAAATGAATAATGCCAAATCTCAACTCCAGTGATCAAATTTCTCCCCCGTCTGCTCAATCCACGTCTTCCCTTGGGTTTCCATACAGCTCACTGAGCAAACCAAAACAGAAAGGGGCCTCTGCACAAAGATAAAGCCTGACATGATTAACTAGCTCTGCTGGTTGTGTGTGCAACCCACCCAGGTGTCTAGACAGCTTGAAAAATACAGATGGGGCACAGGAGCAGCCGCTATTCCTCCCGTGTTGGACCTCAGATTTAGCAGGCACGGACTGCATCAGCATTAGGTGACCCTCTTCCGAAGGAAACAGCCACCCTTATGGGGTTGCTGTTGAAGTTGCTGCTTCAGAAGGTGACAATTTTCCTGCCAGATCAGTGCAGCCCTCAGCTGGAGCTGGACACGCGCTCCAAGGCACTTGCTCCAGGAGAAGCTGGGAACAAAGAGCCCTCGGCAGTTTGTTGTAAAGGGAAAATAGGAAGAGCACCTGTGTCCTGGCCTGATACCAGTGCAGGCAGGTGCTCCTCGCCTGCCCCTGCGCAATAATAAATGGGAGAGCAGGTTTCAGGCAATGAAATGTTTAGGTCCTGCTAAACAACAGTTAATGGCTTAGAAGGATCTGAGAGGGAACAGGGACAGAGTCCCATGGGTGCTCCAGGACTCGTGTTCCCCCATTACACACGACTGGGGCCGAAGGGCAATTGGACATGGGCAGCCCCAGCAGCGCAGGGCAAGCGCAGCACGAGGCAGTAAAACACAAGTCAGACAAAACATCTGGCAGTTGCTTCAAATAGTTTTCTGTCTGAAGGGCAGACGAGCCCGCAGTGGTCTCAAAGCGGAACACGTGCAAGGACAGGATCAGTGCTCCAACATGTCAGCACAGAACGAGTTTTGCTGCCTTCAATATTGTTTCTGTGCCAAAAAAAGTTATGTTTTGGGTTAGGCTTTTGATTTTAATAAATTTAACCAAATAAAAGACTAAGTATTTCCCTTTCCAGTCAAACACAACCTCGTCTTTGGCATATGATCAACATCAGCTCCGCATAGGAAGTATAAGGGAGAGAAAGCGCTGGACGGGAGACTTTATGATCGCAGCCCTGGTCTTTGTGTTCGGAAAGCTTTCGGTGCCCAGGCCCATCATTGCACTGGCGCTTTGCCTCAGTTGTGCACGTAAAGGAGAGGTCCCCGAGGTTTTCTGCGTTATTGACGTGGCCTTAGCCTTGGCAGAGCCCCAGCAGAGGCGCTCCCGGCCCAGGTGGGGTGCACCAAGGCCCAACTCACATGCAGAGCGGCCCTTGCTCTCCAAACAGAGGCTGCTAAAGGCCCACAACTTCCTCGCTCGTCACCTACCAACAACCTCCAGGGAAAACTTCCCCCTTGCAGGCAAACTATGAGGCCAGAGGCCTCCTCTAAGCCACGGAGCAGCTCCACGTGCGTCAACATTAGTCAGCAAGAGCAGGGAGATGAGAGGCTGGCCAGCGGGGCAGGGCTGGGTTTCAAGGAGACCCTGACACAAGCAGGACTTGTGGTTTTTATTGCTGCCTGGAGAAGGGAGTAGCCCTGGCTGCCCCACGGCAGCGCGGGCGCCCGCAGAGATTCATTAGGACTCGCTAATCTGTGATATCATTTGTTGATTCCAGCAGGCCCAGTCCTCATCTCATGACTTCCTGCGTGGTCACCATGGCACTGTACATAAACACTGCAAGCGCCCGGCCCCGAGCAGGTCATTTATTTCAAATATTCCATGCAGCTGGAACACAAGCCTGTTTGGGTGTCTGGAGCCGAGCATGAACTAATTTCTCAGTCTTCCGCGCTCGCCCCACCTCGTGGGCCCTCCCGTCCAGCTCCGCTCCCAGCTCCAGGGCACCCTTCCCTGGAAGGTAAAGCCAAGCTGCATACGCCCACAAACAGGCAGAAAAATAAGTGTTCTCCTACCTGCAGCAAAGCGAACCCCTGCTGACTGGCAAACACGTTGGCTGTTGAGCTTGGCATTCACACGCTGTTGTCTTCAAAGGAGGTGACGCCTCTGAAAACTGAAAATCCTTGCCCTGATAGGAGATAAAGGCAAGAAATTGCTTAAAAACCTCAATCAGCCCCTGCCCCAGCACTCTCCCTCCCCAGCACATGGGCAGCATAGCTGGAGAGCACAAACCCACATCACCTTCAGTCACTTTGGAGAGACACAACCTACCTGCTGCTACCGCATGACAGCATCTCCATCCTGCCCAGGCTGGAGGTGGAAGAGTCAGAAGGCACCATTAGGAACCACAAGCAATTTGCACCCTACAACCAACATCCGAGCTCCCGAGAGCACAAGGATGAATCTTCTGTGCAAAATAGGTCGCAAAGTGGACATTTACTGCTGTGTGCTTTTGCAGCAAGTTTAGCTCCATAATCAGGGCCCCAAGCACAGCCTAGAAGTGTCTTAGCCAACCTGGAACAGCCATTTCCAGCCACCAGTGGAGATGTTGAAGACCTCAGCAGCTCAGCCCATCCCACCTGCAGTGGTAGGTGCCCCGTACACAGCCCCCAAGGCAATAACAACTCAAGGTGGCCTTTTAATGGTGACCAGGCTGCCACCCTTTGCTTTACTTGTTTCAGATAGGTCCTCACGAGCAAGCTGAGCATCCATCTAGGGCATAAGGATTATGTCACGCATATGAAAAACACCACCAACTTATATTCAATAAATTTTATTAGGTTACTGAATGTTATCTACAGCCGTAAAATAGAAAGGGAGAATTTAAAACTGTACAAAGCGCTGTACTAGGGAAGTGAGGGGAGATGGAGATGAGAGCGCAGACAGCACGAGAGGTGGGAAGAACACAGCTGCTTCCCTGGAGCTAACGGAAGACACTGGTTCAAGTTGAAGGCAACCAAGCAGGGCTCCATAAACACTGAATTTCCTTGTGCAACTTGTGTCCCACCCTGTGACAGAATCTAGTACAAACCCCTATGTTAAAAAAATTATACAAATTTAAAAAAAAAGGGGGCACATTGCACCCCACCCAGTCTTGGCACCAATTCTGTGCTTTAAAAAATATACTATGCAAGTAGTTTATTTTTTAAAAAAAGGTACCCTACAGCAGCTGTTTAAAACATTGTACTTATACATACACCACAAATATATATATTAACATTTTCAACAACTAAATTCATTTGTACCTACACAGAACTGACGGAATAACTCAAGAGCAAAAAAAAAAAAAAAACCAACCACACAAACATTTTTCAAGACAAAGAAATGTGCAAAATAACCCCAGAAAGGCAGCAGAGTAGCCTGTGGAGACACCAAGAAAGAGCTCCGATCCCTCTCTTTACTCGGCTACCGAGGCAAGAATCTTTATTTGGGATGTGCCGGTTTTGCCAGAATCGCTTGTCCTGTTTATTGCAGCTCCCTCAGCGCCGCTCCAGAGGGGCTCCCTTGTCCCTTCCTTCTTCCTGGACCCGGAGCTTCCCCCCAGGGTCTGGAAAAGCCTCACGAGTTCCAGCCCTCTGCAGCAGCCACCAGCTCCTGCATTTGCAGGCTGCCGGTGGCAACTCTGTGCTGTCACTGCCACCTCCCTCCAAGACCTCTTCCCATCCCCGAGCAAGGCACAGGGAGACCTATTCCCGCTGCGCAGCTAAGAACAGGCTGATGGGACAGGACAGAGCCTGGCTTGGAGGACTTTAAGCAGCTTAATGAAGAGAATACCCTGGCAGAGACATTCGAGTCACACTTCGTGTTTCCAAAGCCCTGGCAAGAACAGGCTACACAGAAAGCAGACATCAGAAGGCAGGACCAATAGCTGTGCAACAAGTCTCAGCTCAACCACCGTGGCTTATATTGCAGGACACATTTGTCCTTTCCCTGTCCCCACATCAGGGAGAAGCCCCCAACTCCAGATTAAAACCTGCAGTTTCAAGTCTACAAGAGGACAGGTGAAGACATTAGACACCCACTCAGTCACACCAAGACAAGGCAGGACAAACAGCAGGAGAACTGGGAAAGTGACAGTGGCAGAAACAAAAAAAGCAAGATTCACTGGCTATTAAATAACCTCAGGACATGGTGAGAAGTCCTAGCAGACAGACAGACATCAACTACATAACCACCTTCGCCAGGTTAAGTGACCCAGTGGAAAGGTTTTTGGTTTTGGTGTTTCAGGTTTTTGTTGACATTATTTTTGGTTTTAACATCCCACTGATAATTCTTCTTGGTATTCCAGACTCTCCCCAACTCTGCCAGCCACCCTGTGCCTTTCTATTCTTAGCACCTGGTCTGAAGAAAACCTCCATCCTACCACCTTCCCTTCCCCTAAGCTGCTTCCTCCCCTTTGGCTGACGCAGACGAATATTTCACTCCCAGGCTCTACAAGGATCCAGCACAGCCTATTTGGAAAGCAGGGAAGCACCGAGCTTCTGTAAAGGTTCCTTTTGCAAGAGTGCTGTAAAAGCACCTTCCAAAGAGCAAAATGCTCGTTTGAGGGGTGAAACAAGTATTATCCGAGAATTCGCTTTGGCCCTGACAGAGGTGCTTTGGCCAAGGAGTTCCAACAGCAGCGACGACACGAGGGTGGCAAACCCATTGCCCAGTGGGTCAGCTCCAGGTTGCTCGTCTTGGTTCCAGCTCTGTCCTTGAACACCAAGGTCATTGGTAGAGCAGGTAACTCTTGAGGGAAGCTGGCAGTGGCAACGCAGGGATCTCATTTAGTCTCTCCCTGCCCAGAGCAAGCCGCACCGCTCGCCGACACAAGTCCATCAGAGGCAGTGGTTCAGCTGGAAGAGGAAGGAAAACCAAATGTGAGCATCCCAACCCATGAGCTGCACATTCCCTTTACTAGCTTTAAAACCCCCCTGGAGAAATCAGTGGGAGATGGGAAGGCTGAGCCTGCTCACAAGACCTAAGCCCCTCAGCACTCAATCAGCAACAGGAACATGACAAAACACACAGCCCCAGGTGACTTTCTGTAGGAGGTATTTAGAGCCAAACACTGCAAAGGAAAACTTCTTAGGATCATTTAAGGAATTTGCCTCTAATCGATGCCATTCAAGGCTGAGACCAGACAGCTTGTGCCTCTCCTTGCAGTATCCAAACACCTTTGAAGAGGGGTCACCAAAAATAAAAGACTGCAGCAGAGTTTGATATCACTGTGTGATATAAATACACAGAAAGGACCATAATTTGTGTTTATTCTCTAGGACTGTAACAACTGCCAGCCCCTTCATTCTATTGCATGATCCCCCTGCGATGAGTAAAGCCACCTGTTAGACTTCATGTCCCTGCATTGAACATGCTGGGACAGCTCCCATCAGAGCACTCCCCTCTGCACCACCCATGCCTGGGAAAAACGCAAGCCTTGGGCTACCATGCCCACATCCTGCATTTTAAACACCCAACAGGACAGCACCAAGTTTCCCAGCAAGGAAGGCTGAAGGGTCCTGCTCACCAAGATACACCTAGAACAGAAGCACCCCGAATTAAGGACATCACAGGACGATCTTCTAATAGCTCAAGCGCTTGGTGTTAAAGAGTTTCCTTAAGAGACATCTCAGGCCAGAGACACCTAAAACACATCCCCAGGAGTGGAAGAGCTTGGCTGGGAAGCTGCAGTTTTCAGGAACTTCAATAGATGCCAATTGCTCCAGCTTCCACTGCTCCAAGCCAAATTAATTTACTTCACCCAGCTGTTTTAAACAGCTGAGACAGTGACAGCCTAATTCTCCTCAACAAGATCATGTTACTGCATTTCTTACGAGCATTTACTCCATCAGCAAGATGGATCAAAATCCCTTCCTTTTGAGTCCATATATTAGCATCAGAATTGGAGAGCTCAGACAGATGTAGCCTCTGATCAGGCCACACAAATTTCACTCACTTTGGAAAATAAAAATATTCGGACTGCTCAGTGCAGAGATTTCCAGGGAAAAATCAAGGAACTATTTTGTATTCTTTTGACCCAAAAAATATAAATCAAGTTTGAGAAAGAGGGTCTGCTCACAGTGGAGGGACTTCTAGCCAAGTCAGGAATCATACTCTTGAATTGCTCTGCATGCCCTTCACACGAGCAGTTGAAGAGCTGAACTACGGCCCTGCTTCCCCCTCATTTCGGTCACCGACTATCATCTGCTGCAGGGGACTTGCAGGACAGCAAGCCCAGGCCAAGCAGCAGTCGTCAGTGAACTGAACAAGAACTTTTATGCTCCTCTAGTTGCACTGATAGCCCCGTCTGACAAGAGAGACCCAGCGGGCAAGCGCCTGCGTGACCTCCTTTCCTTCCCCAGCACTACAATCGCTGGACACAGTGCTGCTATTGAACGCTCTCAAGTGCTTGGAGCCAGACACCTTCTTTCTCTCTGTGCCAAAATAGCATCCTGTCATTCCTGGCCTCGTGCCCGTGCTCCGCTCCTCCGCGGAGAGCGCGTTACAACCCCGTCCAATACAGGAGGTGGCTGTTTCCTCGCTAAGTGCAGTTCTGTGCCGACAGCTCCACAGACTTGCTGGCTCGGAGGGGAGCTGCAGATTCTGGCTTTGAGGCTCAAAAGCCTCGTTCCTGCTCTCCCAAGCCATGGTGTGGCAGGAAGAGCTGGGCTTCTTCCTCCTCCTGGGAGGAAGAGTTTTGCCAAGGGCTCAAATCAAGATCCTTATTCTCTAGGGTTGTTCCACTGCTCTGAGCTCATCTGCTGAAAGCTGATGGAACAGGCCTGACTGCAGGAAAGAAGCAAAAAATGAAAATAAAGCAATTTGTGGGAGGCAGACACCTATGCTGAGCACCAAAAATGCTTCTCAATTTAATAACCACTTAAGTCCCTGCCACCTAGTCACACCATCCTGCAAGCAGAAAGAGCAGCAAAAACCAGCTGCAGAATCACCTACTTGAGGGGCAGGACCAGACTCAATCAGTTATATTAAGGCTCCCGATGGAAACAGCAGTCATGACAGCATCTCAGTAGATAGACCTAAGGACTCCAATCTGCTGCTTCATACAGCATTTACAGCCATCTCATGCTCCATGTCCAAATAAGCTGAATATCCAAGACTTGTGTCCCATCACTCTGCTTTTTAACCAGTTTCAAAACTCATAAGCTGAAGAGACAAGAAATTCAGTATTTTCAAAGAAAAACAGCAAAATAGTTCATATATTATTCCTCATATCTGACAAGCCAAACCACAAGAGACTAAACTGTGTAGATTTCCACTCGAATCCAGCTTGGTCCAAGCTTTACCAATGCCCTGGAAATACCCTCTTGCATGGAGTTGTTTACTTTGATTTCAAGAAAACCAAACAGGACTTATCTAACTTAAAATAACTTCCTCCTTAAGTATCATCACAAGACTAGGCCCATAACCCTAGTTAAGGGCAACTAGGAGTTTCACAAAGGTGTTGAAGCAGCACGAGATGCTATCTGATTTCTTTGGCCTGTGGAACCTTTACTCTTCTTTTACTCTTTAGCAAGGCTTTTGGGCTTATTTTGTGAGATTTATTAGATATAACTATATCTATTATTAGTCACAGGTGAATGAGTGCTTTGTGCCAGCCTGTTCGTACCCCATGTCACCAGTGCCACGCATTTGCTGTCGCTGGCCCCAACAGACACGTCCTGCTCCCAGCGAAGGGAGCCCAGGGTATTGCAGCCCGTGGGCCAACACGGAGCTGGAATGCAGGGGGAAAACACGCTACTCTTCACAGCAGCCTTGCCAGAGCTGTTGGTGCCAAACACAAATCCAGATTTGAATCCGCTTCCTCCTCCTCTTCTTCCTCCCCACCCACACGCCTGAGTCAGTGGGGCCCAGCAGGAACCTCTTTTTGGGAGATAACAGACTCATCCTCACATTTGGACAGCCAAGCCTATTACTAAGTGCAGCTACGAACCGACATCCCTCTTGGAAGGGCTAGCACAAGCCGTGCTGGCTACAGTACTCAGCGCCACACTGCAAACCTGCGCTTCCTGCCCGGGATGAGCTGCTTTCCCAAACAGTGGGACATTCCCATTGATGGGACAGGGACAGGTCTTCCCACCGCTGCCTGAGGGGGATGGTGGAGGCTTCTTCATCCAGGATGGGTGGCAGTGCTCCCTGGATTGCGCCCATCAGAGGATACCCCGGCAGCGCACGGAGCACCAGGGACACAGGAGCTTGCCAGCCGGATGCCAGGGAGCTGGCACAGCTTCCCAGCACACCACCATCCCTGCCCTGCTCGCTCCTGCAGGGCCACGGCAGCAGCACGCATGGTGCCGGCCAGCACGGCCCCTTCCCAGGGGAACATTAAGGATGCGGAGACGCGGCTGGGCTGGCACGAAGCCTCACCCTCTGGAAGCCCTTCCCGAGGGAGGCCGCGGCGCCCGCGTGGCTCCACAGCACGGGCAGCTGTACTCACGGTCGAGCCCGTTCAAGTAGCGCATCCGGATCTCGCAGTGTCCCCACACGGCGCTCACCACCGGATACAGCTTTTTCCCTTTGAGCCCCCGAAACGCGACGCCCATGTACTGCCCGTCCACAATGAAGCTCAGCGTCCCATCGTCCATGTCCAGGACGACCAGGAAGGAGTCCGGCACGATGAACGTCTCATCGGGCTCCAGGAAGGCAGGGTACGTTTTACTCGGCTGGTTCTTGCCGTCGTGGTAGAGCCGGTTGCGGCCGAGGTCCCATCCCCACGACTCGTGGTTGTTGCCCACCAGCGTGGTGTACCCTACGGAATGCAGAGGGGCGTCCGCCGTCGCCACCCCCACCACGGCGTGGGTGCCGCGCTGCCGCATGGCCCACGTGATCTGCCACACGTGCAGGCCTCGCGTGTACCCCACTTTGCCCCGGATGGCGTCTGTGCTCTGGGCCACCGGATGCCGGTGAAATATGAGCTTGTCGTCCTCTTTGACGAAGACATTCAGCGAGCGGTCGTCATTGTTCCACGAATGCAACAGCTGGACTTCGTAGGACACCGGCGGCATGTCCAGGAGCAAGTCCAGGCGCGTGGGCTTGCTGTAGTCGAGGCCCTGGAGCTCCTGTTTCAGCGGCCTGTACACAGGGTCCCTCATGTCCACAGTCTTTATCCCACCGGTGACCTTCTGCCCCATGGCGTGCTCCGCTCTGGCCTATCCCTAGGCAAGCTCATCCACCTGCCCCGCCGCTCCCGCTGTCATCCAGCCCCACGGACGTCGCCAGGAGACCTTGTCAAGACGTGCACTGGTCAGCAGCGCCTGAGGGATGGAAAGGAGAACAGAGGAGGGAGTTAACCGTTGGCACGTGCAGCCTTGGCACAGCACTCGCGCCGTTCCGCCCGCCAGCTCAGCCCTGCCATCCGCGCAGGAGGAAGGGCAGCGCATGCAGAACCCCCTGCACAGATAAACCAGTGAGATAACACAGTGCTCTCTGATGCATCTGCTACTCTGATGCTCCCTTCAGAAGACACCTTGAATTTCTGCTCCTTTGCTGAAGGGTGGACTCGGAGCCACCAGAGATTGCATTCCCCTTGCGGTGAACGCACTGCTGCTTCTTGCTGCACCATTAAGCACATCTTCGATCAGGCTGCCTCCAGCTACCCCTGGTTTCACATCGGGGTCACCTATGTGCTGTCCATGCTGGGAAAAACCTGCCCCTTAAGTTTTCCACATACAAGACTTCAAGGCTGATGCACAGCAACGCTGGAGCCTTGCACTCCTCCTGACAGCCTTGATAGGTACCAAGACTGCAAATAAGGGCTTGTTTATAGCAGAATTTGCCCATCTCGCAGCTGTAGCTCACAGCAGAGGCCAGGCTCAGCAGACGTTCCCATGTGCTCGGTTCCAGCGCGCTGAGAAGGCCAACAGCCCCAGAGCCAGCACCACACATCAGTCACGCAGAGGAGCTCCTGCTCCTGCCATCCATAAACATTTTTCCCCTCAACACTTAAGCAGCTCAAAAAAAAATTACAAAGCATTCAAACCCATCACCCCATAGCAGTGTTCAAGCAAGGTAGGAGTGAGGAAACAAGGAAACATTTCCCCATCTGCAGAGTTACAAACCTCGCGTGGATCAGGCGGCACAGCTGCTGGCACAGGCCTGAGGAAATAATTCCCTTTAACCCCATTCCGGCTCTGCAAAGCACCTTGGAGCCGGATTGTGCAAGTCCAGAGCAGCAAACGAAACACAGCGTGCCCGGTCCTAAAGGACACTCATTGCAGCAGCCCTCAGCAGCGCTGGTCCCACTTCACCCTTTGGAGAGCAGCTCAGAAGCCTCCGCACAGCTCCTCTCAAGCGAGCAGCATCAGTTGGGGCAGCTCCTCTTCTCCAAGAGAGAGGGGGAAAAAGAATAATCCCAGTTTAAGATGCAGAGCTGAGGAGGAGGAGCAAGATCCTCCTCACAGTTTAGCGGTTTTCCTTCCAAACATCAGAAATCTCAAAGAAAGCTGAAGTCAGTTTGCCTAGAGACTGGCTCCCTTTGCATACCTTTCCCCCCAGGACAGCATCCACCCAAACAGCTCTGCTCGCGCTCGGCAGCACAAATAACCTTCTGTACGACCGTCGCCAAACTGGGGGCAGCTATTGGGAGAATTAGAAGTGGGAGGGGAGGGGAGGGAACTAGCTTTCTAAGAAAAAAAAGTGTTATTTTAACATTTCCTGGAGTGAGGCAATCACGCGGGGCTCCTGCCAGCTACAGTCACAACACTTACTCACAAGCAGGACCTCATCTGGCATGGAAAATAGAGCATGAATCAGAGCTGGTTTAAAAATAAGGTTACCGGACATAGGCAGTGAAGCCTCAGCTAGAGGTTGACAGGGCAAGACTGTCCCTTCTGTGCTGGGGATTAAATCACCAGCCTCCCTGCAGCTTTTGCTCATAGTCTGGGGGACACCTTGAAACGGGGAGCTCGTGTCAGGTTGTTCAAGAACCACAAAACTATTCTCCTCCTTTCCTTCTCCACATTTTTGGGTCAAGTGTGGGGAGGAAGATCCTTGAGGTGCCGTGAAGGACACCCCACCGGGCAGCAATGGCAAGCAGTGCAGCTATTCTGCGTCCTCAAACATACAGCACTGAGCAGCAGCAAGTGGTTCCTGCAGCAGCTGCCGCTTAGTTCAGATCCGATCACATTAACAGCTGAGGAGGAGGAAGGAGAAACCCTGCAGGACCCTCCAAGTAAAGGCCACCACATCCAAACGAGTCCCCAGTTATTCAAGCCAGTGGCAGCTGAGAACAAGCAACTGCAAAGCAAACCAAGAGCTGAGGCGCAGACACCACGTTCAAGCACCTCATAGATGCCCTTATTTATCCCCTAAGGCTTCTTCTTTCCAGGCTGCTGCAAAGACACTAAAGCTTCTTTTAGCTTCTAAGCAGGAAAACTTGAGGAGTGGGGCTTGCCCTGCACCACCAGAGCTCGGCACTAGGGGAGAACATCACCCCACGACACAGACGTGGGGTATTTAGTGGTTCTGCCCCACTGCCCAGAGGGCAGGCAGCATCTAGCATGAGCACCCAGGCCCAAGCATCTCCGTGACACCAAGGATGCAGTCTGCCCTGCCCTGAGCCTAAGGAACTGCAGCAGCCCACACCAAAGGGGCCAAAGGGACAAGAAAAAGCAAGCAGACATTGACACAGATTGAGCTGCAGCCATGCAATCTCACACACAGCTCTGCAGTTGCTTCCTACAGAGGACAGGACCACAAACACACCAAGGTTTGCCCGACAACCCTTTTCAGCTCAGCCCATCCACTGCCCGCAGCTGTCCGGGGTTTCACAGCAGCTCTCCACCTTCCCCAGCGCCTCATCTTGGAGCCCTTGTGCTTGTGTGCGCCCAAGGCCCCGGTTTGACACCTACTTGGTTCCAGCGCAAGTCATGTGCCCATGCTGGGAGAAGGGCCACGAGGCTACTGCGAGGGGAAGGTCTGATTCATCCCCGGGGCCGCAGGGAGCACCACGAGCCGCCTGCGCTCCCGAGCCCGCTCCGACACGGGCTGTCAACAAGCGCTGGCTACAGCGCGCCTGGAAGCCTACAGGCGAGTTCAGCTGTTGGAACAGCGATTAGGATGAAGGAACAAAACATTGGCAGAGAGGAGAGGCAGAGATTTCCTGAGAGCAGCACAGAACATGTGAGAACACTGCATAGGAAGCAATAACCAAAACAGAGCAGGCTGCCAGACTGCAAGATTGGTGCAGATAGCTCTGGAGCACAGACTGCTCAAGACGTGGTGCAGCTCTGTACTCCAAAGCTGCATCCCCTGTTCGCTGTGACTTTTTGCCCCTATCGACATAAGTTTCAGCACGTTTGGAGGGTCCTGCAGCGAAGAATCAACGCAGCAGAAGAGGCGCCTCCGGAGCGCGTTTGGCCGGGCGCTGCCTCTGCCTCCTGGAAAAGGAAGCAACCTTTCCCAAAGACACGGATTATTCATCACATGCCTCAATTACGACTCTTTCCCCAGGCAGGCTGTTAACTCCAGATGAAGTGTTACAGTCAGAATAAAGCAGCGAGAGAGGCAGGAGGAGCAGAACCAAAGGGTTGGCGGGAGGAGAGCCGGGCAGGTGCTGAGCCCTGCACAGCAGCGAGGGGCAGCCTGGCTCCTCGTGAGGCAGGGCAGCAATTCCCGCTCCCGGCGGCTCCGGGCTTCCCGCTCTGGATCTGCGGAGCGGCTCCTGGCCCTGCTCTGCTGGCACCGCCAGGGCCCCTCTACCTTGCACATAAATGCTTCTAACAGCAGCAGCAGCGACGTCGCTCCACAGTTAATGGATTAATGTTGTGGGCAGCTTGATATGAGATGCAGCCAGCCAGAAAGATCTACTGGGGAATCAGCGACTCCAAGCCTTTGAATGGTTAGAGGCTTAGGTCCATTTGCAAGCACTGAGTGCTTTTTAATCACATCAGCAATCCAGGTTTGCTGGACTTCTGCTCTGCTACATAAACATATCCCCATCTCCATTCTGCACCGTTCTGTTCCCAGGCTATTTGCAGCTTTATTGTTAACCTTCCAGCCATAAAAGCCTTGGAACAAAACTAGGCTGGTCTGTCTATAAGTGCTCACTGCTTTTTTGCTCTGAGAATCAGATGCTCCCCTTCAGCTGGGCTGTCCAGAGCAAGCAGGCAGCTTGCCGTGCTGGGAAGACAGGCCAGGCTTTAAAACAACTGCTTGCTAGAAGCAGCAGTGACAAAGTCCCCACTGCTGAAGGGAGAACACAGGTTTTACCGAGACAGGAACGGAGAGGGAAGTCAGAGACAGACGTGTCCAGCCTCTCTTCTATTGAGGCTTTGATGGGAAGCAGAGGAGCTAAGTGCCCACCACAACTTGAAGCTGAGCTGGTCATCCCCATCTGATTCCTGCGGTTCTGGTCCCCCACCTTCCAAAGGCTGGTTGCTTTTTCCCTCCCCAGTGTAGGGTTCTCCCCTATTTCCACTGTGGTTTGCAGTCCTTTCTGAAGAGTTTTAGCAGTTTTGCCTGCAGCGCTGGGTGCAAGAGCAGAACCATCCTCGGCGTCCAGGGCCACCTGCACCCTCTGGCTAGAGCCCAGCCAGGCTCATGCTGCACAGGTGGCAGAATGGACCAAAGCAGGATATTGTGCCTCAATATGAATCAAAAAAGCTAAAACTTGACTTCAGTTATTTCTCCGGGGTCCCCCAAAACCTTGTGCAAAGCTTAAGTTTAGTCTAGAAATTCACCCTTGAGAGTCCTCACAGCTCACAGAACCCTTGAATCTTCACAGATTCAAAGTCAACCCATCTAGAACAAGGCTGCTCTTTGCTCTAAGCCTGGTTCTCCTCATTCCTACACACCCCAACATTCAAACACATTCAGCTCACCTGAACACACACTAGAAACGCAACCTAAGCTCTCAGGGCAGTGAACTTAGGTCAACAAATACTCACCCAAGATGCCCCCTCGCTCTGTCTGAAGCCAAAGGGCTGTTCCCATGTCAGCCTTATCACATTGCGGGGGTTATTTCAGGTAGCTACATCTCAAAATGACACAGGGATTTTAAAAGGCTGCTACTGAGAGTGTCAGCTCCGTTGAGGAGCTGCTTCCACAGAAACAGTCCTTAAAGCCCAGGCCAATATTTCCTCACAAGACAAAGTCTTAGCTAGGGACTCAGTGTCTCTGCTGGTTCTATTCACCTAACTCACCCGAAGAAAGTCTTGTGCTGTTAAA